TCATTTCACCGCCCTGGGCCTCAGTTTCTTCATCTGTAAAATGAAGCATTTGATCAAGACTATATGATTTCTAAGTTCCCTTTCATGTCTAAATCTATGATCCTGAGAATTCCATCAATGAAAAATGTCTTGAATTATTTATAAACACTGATGAGTTATTCATTTGTTGTGGAGAGGGGAAAGGGTATGCCACCTTGCTTGATAGGAACAGTAAATACAAACAAAATTTATTAAACAAAATGCTGAAAATTAATGCAGCATTTCATAAATTCATACTTTTTTCTTTTTCACACACCAAGGTGAAAATGCTTCATGTGGGCTCAGTCATGGGCTTAATATTTTGTGCAAGTATCAACCTTGCTGTGTTTGGAGAAGCTCATCACTAGATTGGCTGCAAGGTGATTGATTTTTTTATCCATGTGCAACCCGTAGCGGTCATCTACTAAGTTATAGTGGAGGGAGTATGCTACACTATTGGTTCCCATTTATTTAGTGGTTCATGAACCCTTTGTGATGGGTGGTCAAAGGGATTCATTCTAGAAATTCTTTAATAGCACCTTAATCAGTAAATAATTGTCCAATAATGTTACAAATATATTTTTCCTCTTTGATAACAAGCCTGTACATGTTTATGTTTGTTTCTGCAGCAATTGAGAGTTTTGGGGGACAAAAATTATCATTTTGGTTATTGTAAGTACTTAACAAATCTAAAAGAGTGTTATGAGTAGCATATTAAATTATTTTAGGGCTTCATGATGCATTTTTGTTGTTGTTATTTTTAAAAGGTGTTTGCAGAACAAAAATGTTGAGAAATACTGCCATACACATATGGCATTTTGGATCTTTGAAGTATTGAAATAAAACCATCTTAGAGGGAAAAAAGCAAGCTAATTTATTGCTTTAAAAAAGAGGCCCACCATTTAAACCTACTCTGCTGCCCCACAATGGTGTGGAAATTCTCCAAAGCTGTACTAATAAAATATAAGCTCTAGAAGTTCCTCCCAATCTGGAAAGGCTGACGTATAGGCCTGGTGATGGACTCTTTCTGTTATTCAAGTTGTTGTTGTTGTTGTTCAATCGTGTCCAATGCTTCATGAGCTCATTTGGGGTTTCCTAGTGAATATACTGGAGTGGTTTGCCATTTCCTTCTCCAGCTCATTTTGCAGATGAGAAAACTGAGGAAAACAAAGTTAAGTGACTTGCCCAGGGTCACAAAACTAGTAATTGTCTGAGGTTAGATTTGAACTCAGGAAGATAAATCTTCCTGACTCTAGACCCAGCCCTCTATCCACTGTGCCACCTAGCTGCCTGGATATCCAAGTAGAACCAACCTAGCTAAGTTCCAAGTTTCTTATCACCAGAAGATTAGTCTTCAAAGGATAATGTTTGGTTATGATAATGATTTTCCCATCTTAATCACTTGCTAGATAAGTGATCTTGGGCAAATTGCTTAATCACTCTGTACCTCAGCTTTCTCATCTGTAGCATAAGCGGGTAGGGCTAGATGACCATTAAGGTCCCTTCCAGCTCTGTGTCTATGATCCTTTGATAGTTTTTACTGTTGCTTTGTTTTTGCTACATTAACTCATGATGATAGTCCACTAAGGCATGGAGGAGTTGTAATTTATTAGAAAGAGGGAGTAACCACAGTGATGAAATCACTGAATCTTAGGTAGTCTTGAAAGGGTGTTGGGTGCTTATTTAGAAGTTCATTGCCTTTGATGAACCTTTAAGATATTACTAGCAGAAGCTATATGTTCTGTGTTGCCTTTTAACAGCTGTAGTCACAAATGGGTTTAATAGCAGTCATGATTCACTATTCTCCAATAGAATGACAGGTAACTGAGTTACTATATAGATGATAAACTGAATTTTCATTTGTAATAAATGTTTGTTGAATTGATTTGAGCAGATTGTTTGCCTGTAATTACTTCTAAAGTGCTTGAGAATGAATGTTTCTTCTTTGTTGCCTGTCTTTGTTATAAATATGTTCAAAAATCATTTAATCTTTTTTTCTAAAAATACTGTATAATTGAACTTTATCCCAGTCCCTATAGAAGAAAGGAATCTTGACTATGAAATTTTACTGTATGTGAATTTTTCAACATTAAAAACTGTCTCATAAAGATGTCTTGGAGGATTGATATTATGTATAGTATTCTTTCTCTAAAGGATCTCGATAACCATTCATCTTCCATTTAACATGTTCTGAAACCCTTCTAGTCTATATTGAACTTTTTTTGGAAATGGTTCATATTGTTTCCACTCACAAAAAAAAAACACAAAATGAAGAAAGGATAAAATAGAAAAAATAAACTAGAGAGGGAAATAAGCTCAGTTCTTTCTTTCCTATTCTTTCAAATGCAAGGACATAAAAGGGTGAACCTAATTCTTTTAGTGGATTGACAGTATCTGGCATATCGAATGTTCACTGAGTCCAGTTGATTGATTGATTTCCAGGCTTAATAAAGGTTTAGACCAAATAGAACATAGATAGTACCAACTATTTTACTACATGGAGAATTTTCTACCCTTCTTACTAATATTAGTGATTTTCATCATTATTTTTTTGGTCAGGAGTATCTGTGGGCCAATAAAATAATTTTGATAAAATGCATCCATCATACTATTGGTTCCTTGAGAATTGGGACTATTTTTGTTTTTTTGTATCCCTACTGCTTAGCATAATGCCTGGCATGTTGTTGTTGTTGTTGTTTTTCATCCTTTGTTCTCAAAGAGAACCAATGACATCATGAGGGTGATGTCTTGACTTGCAAGTGAATTGGATTTAAGTGAGTCAGAACTGTGCAAAGTCACCAGCCTCACATTTTCCTCCAGACTCATCTGAATCCAGTGGCAAAAGATAGGTCAGGGTGATTGGTAATGACCCCAGATGCACTGGGAGACCTTGGCCTTTTTAAGCTAAGGTTTTTCCCAGGTTTCTAATGCTTGTTGTCTTAATTTTAGTGTCATTACCAGTGGGGTTTTGGAATTTAATCTCCAATTCTGATTCTGTGTGTGAGATTCCATTACATGTAAAAGTTTCTATAAGGTAGAGATATTTGTGCATTTTAGATTATTGAAAAGTACTTTCAAAAATCTAGATAAGTAGTGAATATGCTTAACCAGAAAGTTCATTGAATAGCAAATTGAGAGAGAAAGAGGTTGGCATGGTACTCTTCAGAATGTTTCTACCTAGATTCCAATGACTACTTAGATTTGTTTAACATATTCCCTTCTGGTAACAAAACAAATGCCTGATTCTATTATTAAATAATTTTGTTTGACTATATTTAGGGATTATCATTTGAGACAACCAATTTTTTGGTGATTCTATCTAGGTAATTCTTATTTAAAGGAATTTTGTGGTGATATCTGTTTCTCTTATTTTAAAGAATGCCAATAACACTCAACATGTACTCAGTAACAGTAATTTTAACAGTAAACATCTCAGCAACATTTAATATATTCTAGGAGTTATTACATGAACTATATATGAATACAGATATTTGATATCTGTCATGTGTAGAATAGTAAGAAGAGCTTTGCACATGGGCTCAAATGTTGGCTCTGATGCTTACTAGCTACATAACCTTTTAGCAAATCACTTAATCTCTCTCAGCCTAAGTTTCCTCATCTAAGAAATAGGGAAAATAAAACTTATACTTCCAACATCCCTCCTTCCCCTAGGCAGAGTTGTATGAAAAAAATAATTCTTACAATCTTAATATATTCTAAAATATAATCTGATATTATTTATCTTCTATTCTTTTACCCATGTGCCAGATTAAATGCTTAATAGTTACAGTTCTCCAGGATAACATAAAAAATACTTACCTTTATTATTCAGTGAAGATCATTGAAGTTCCAGAACATCTCCACTGAGGGTAGGATATCAGCATTTCATGTGCATTCCAAACAGCCAACAAGGTCTTACAAGAGATACATCTCCTAGGTGAAGGCGAATCAGTGCAAAGCTCAAAGGCATTTATTGGATGCAGTAGGACAATGACTAAGTCATTATAAATCCTGAACTAGGCAATGATTGAGAATTCTGTTATTCTGCATATAGTTGCCTGTACAAAAGTATGTCCAAAACCTTCCCATGACATAAATTTCAATCTTTCTCAAGTAAATGACAAGGGGAAGAAACTTAAGAGACTTGCACTAACTTTGTTAAAGGGGAGAGGAAAAGGACATATTCTGGAGAGAGAGAATTGGACCAATAATTTTACGTGTGGTAAGAACTCATGATGTAGAAACCCTCTGCATCTGCTGATGCAGATAGGCATCTATAACTTGGACTCTATGATTTGTATTTTTTAGATAGTTTACCTGTATTAATCTAACATAAAAAAAATGGACCTAAAACAGAGTAATCCCAGGAAAAGCAAAATCAACAGATAGATAATAAAAACCAACTATGTGCTAGGCATTGTGGTATATGTCAAACATAAAACAAAGCAGTGTTTGCCTTCAAGTAACTTTCCTGGTATCATGTAAAAAAAATGTCTAAATAATAATAATGGATTCTAAATAGCTTAGAAGGGGAGCACTAACAGCCGGGGGGCAGGGGGGATCAGGAAAGGTCTAATGTAGGAGGTGGTATTTCAGCTGAGCTTTGAAGGAGGTGAGGCATTGTAAGAGGCAGGAGCCAGAAAGGAGTTAATTGCAGGCATTGGAGACAGCCTGAGTATGGACATGGAGACAGGTGATGGATTGTTGTGTATGGAGAACAGCAAGTAAGAAAGTTTGATTAAAACATGGACTGAGTGACAGGGAACAATGTGGAATAAGCCTGGCATAGAAAACTGGAGTCATATTGTAAAGGGCTTTAAATGCCAGACTAATTGGTGAAAATGTTGATGGAATTGTACATAGGGGTTTAGCTATTCAAATGTCATGTAACTGAATCATCTAACAGCATCAAACAGTGCTTTGCCATTCACACTTGTAACTCAAAGTAAATGAACAAGAGTGTTTTTTTTAAGTTATTTGGAATACTTAACTGTCAGAGGTGAATCAGGAAAGTGATTTCCCCCGTGTAAGGCTTATCTATTGTACTCTGGATGGGCTGACCCTGTGATTTCCCCAAATGTAGGAAATTTGACTGTACAATTTGTGGTAGTGGGGGACTAGATTCATGCTTTTCTTTGAGGAGAGAAAAAGGCTACATGGAAGCATTTACCATCATTAATTTCACTTTGTAATAGTTTTAAACCAGCAGAATGGCTTCTTAAAGCACAAAAAAAAAAACAATTTTTTTTCTTAACCTTTCAATATTGGTCTTAACATTTCAAAAGGAAATAAAATATGTAGGACTCCTCTTTCCTTAACAGAAGTAGGGGATGAGGGGTGTCCATGAGTCTAGAACATTGCATAGATGGCCATTTTCCCCCCATGTATTGACTAGTTGTAGTGATTTTTTAAAAGCCTTCATTATTTGGGGTATTTGTTGTTGTTGTTCATTCTTCATTCTCAAAGTGGAACAATGACATCATAAGGGGAATGTCTTGACTTGCACATGAATTGGATTTAAGAGAGGCAGAGCTGCACAAAGTCATCAGACTCACTCTCCAGAGTGACAAGACAAAAGTCAAAGATGATTGGTGATGGCCCAGGGTGCAGCAGGAACCCTCTCTGGGAGGCAAATGGAGAGGGATAGAGTTTATTTAATGAAGGGTGCGGGAAGTGGGAAGGAGAGTCTTTTAGAAATCACCTTCACTTATACATCTTTATACATTTGTTCAAAAACATATGTGTGTGTTTGTATATGCATCTGTACATTTATCTTTCTTTTTCCTCTCCTCTCCCTTGGGATCCAGCCCCAGTAGTTCAGCAAAATTAACAGACACATAATTGAATCTAATAGTATATGAAGTGTCCTAAGTCCATAGTCCCTTATCTTGACAAAAAAGAGGAGGGAAATTTTCTCATCTTCTTTGGGACCAAACTTGCTCATGATTTGGTGCCCAGCTTTGCTATTTTTTCCATTCCATTCCCATTGTTCTGGTCATTATACATATTGTTTCCATGGTCCTACTAACTTCACTTTGCATGGATTTATGTTTTCTAATTACTTCTCTTATTCTTCATATTTGTGATTTCTTTCAGCTCAGTAATATTCTATTATATTCATGTACCACAATTTGTTTAGCTATTGTTTAGTTGATGATCAGCTTTGCTTCCAGTTCTTTGCTAGCATAAAAAGTGCTATTATCAATATTTTTGGTATGAATGGGATCTTTCTTTCTATCTTTGGCTCTCTTGAAACATATTACCGATAATGGAATCTTTGAATCAAAGGATTTGGACATTTTGGTCCCTTTCTTTGGATAACTCCAAAATGTTCTCCAGAGTGATAAAGTATATACTTCTTAAAAAAATGAACAGCAATTTTATGATGCCAGGAAGAAATTTTGTTTTTATAATTTCGGTACTATTGGGTTGTGATGAAGTATCTGAGATCTGCTGATAGAAAGTACATTTTGACCACCATAAAATGAAATAGCTTAACAACTAGATAAGCAAAAGATCAGTTTGAGGTAAATTATTGCAGCTTTCATAATGCTTAAAATGTATAGTCACTGCTTTACCCTTCAATGCCTTGAACTATATGATTATTCTTTAGTGTTCAGCTTCCTAGGATTTTAATGTAATTTTTTATCTTAATAACATATCTAGTTATTTTTACTATCTTATCTATTTTACTATATCTAGTTAAGTTTTATATGTTGATTGAACCTCTCCTGCCCTCAGCCACTGGGATATTTAACCAGTGAAGCCTGCTTAGGTAACTATATTTCAATGGTTTTTGTCAAAATACTGAAGTCAATAAGATTGAAAATTTGCCCATAAAATGCATATGAAGGCTTTATAATGTTTATCACCTATGCAAAATTGTGGGGGTACATAGATAAGCTATAAGCCAAGTGGAAAGACTTTAAGAGGAATTTTTAAGTGGCATAAGCAAGCAGGAAAACCCCGATTTTTAAATAGCCCATCTGGCCTTCATAGGTTTTTCCCCAGAGAACTTCACTAACGTCTGTCACATATATTGTGCCCTGATGATAGACATAGCCCATGGCAAAGAGGCCAGTGAAGGAAAGCAAATGGACTTCAGTAGAAAATACACAGGAGACAACAGCCTCCTGCTTGCTGATTAAGTACTAGGGAAAGGTCCTCCACATGGGAACTACAGACAAGCCCCAGCAGGTTCCAACATTCTTCCTACCCTGGCTGAGATGCCTAGCTTTAATGTGGGTCCTTGTTCTTTGCTAAAAAGACCTTTGACCTAGAAGTTACTGCTTTTATCATGTTTGAAGTTATAGCTGGGCAGTTTACTTTAGGTTAAATCACTAAAACTCCCTGTTATGTTTTATTCATAAAGTTTCAAATTTTTTTTTCTTCATAGATAGCAGTATACCCCATGTGTTGACACAATTCATTTTAAATGTGAAATCAAGTGTTTTTTTTCTTCTATTGTTACTTGGCAATCATAATCCTGGGTGGCCTAGACAGCATCTTCCAAGAAGGCTGTTTCTTATTTGTTACGCTTGGTGAGACTACTACCCTTTCTCTGTGATCAGTGATGTTGACAAGATAAAAGAGAATTTTTTTGTGATATGCTAAATAAGGAGTCTATTTATTTACCATTTTAAACCTTTACCTAAATATTTTCTCAGCTTGAAAAGATAAGAACATTTTAAAAACTCAACTTTTGGGTGTGACACTTTTTGTTTCATATCTTTGCTTAATAATAAATCTTGAAGCATTATATAAATATGAGTTGCTATCCTTATCATTCTTATCCTGTAAATATATTTATTTCTACCATGTAAGTTTCTTTGTACTTTTTTGTTATTATAAATGAGTATCACTCTCCATAAAAGCATTGTCCATGAAGATGAAATGTAGGGTGTCAAAGTTTCATTCAATGAAGTTTAAGGAAAAGAGCTCCAAATCCAATTTCTTGCCCCAATTTTGTCATTACCTTGATCTGTGACTGTGGCTGTTACTTTAATCAGGTGAAAGACATTTATTAAGTGCCTTCTACTTTTGAGGTAAATGATAATCATTGGGAATGGGAAGTGCAACAGTGAATATTGTCCTAAATTCAAGAAATCTAGATTGTACTGGAACCCTACATAATCCCTCCATGACTATTTCATCAGCTGTGAATTGAACGTTAAAATACTTGTCCAACCAGACTTCCTGAGAAAAGTATAAAGTACACAAATATATTATATTCTTGTACCCTTGATGGGGAATTCTTAATAAAAATGGAATATGTATCCTCATGTTTTAATCATGATATGCTAGTAACTGAGTTTTCAAGGGCTATGTCAGCAAAGTAGAAGGTGGGAAGTCCTCCTCACCATCTCAAAAACAAAAGAAGCTTCAAGCATTTTCTAATGACAGATTGTTATCCTAGCCATGTTAGAAGAGTGTTAGTACCCAAAGGTCGGCCACCAGACATTGAATTACTCTGGCCACAAAAACACATAAAGATCCTCTAATAACGTAATGAAGGTCATAATATTGGTCAGTGTAATGAATGCCTCATTTAAGAGATTGTAGTATCCAGGGCTTGATATTCTCAGAATAATGTTGTTTGCAAACTAGTCAGGTATAGGAAATTTCTGTTTGACTTGGACTCTATATTCAACCTTATCTGTGACAACTTTAAACACCTTTGTCAAGCATATGCCATCATGTTTTATACCTTGATTGATATTAATAATCAGAAAATCATTGAACATAATGCCTCTGTTGTTACATGTTTCAAGGTATTTTATATGATTTTGGTGTATGCAGCAGGTTTATTTGGTTGAAGGAGATCCTTTAAGGAAGTGGTGTCAAATTCAAATATAAATGGTGGCCACTAACCCATGCATAAGAATCCTCATAGGTCCCATATTGGTGTGGTTTTAAAATGTATTATTATCTATGTTTTATTTTGTTTTATTTTTTGTTAAATGTTTCCCAATTACATTTTAATTTAGTTTTGGCTGCACTGGGGAGTGTTGTGGGCCACATAATACATGTTTGACACCTCTTCTTTAAGACCACCCATCTGGGTCTATTGAATCAAATGCATTTTTATAGTTAATAAATACTGAATATGGTGGAACTTGTATTCTCTATACCTTTCATTCAAAAGCATGAACATAAATGTGGTCTACTGGAATTTCTTCTAGAAAAGCCTGCCTGATTCCTTCTAATACCTTTCTGAGGAACAAAACAAAACAAAACAACATATGGATGAAGAATGCTTATTGTTCATTTCTTTTGATAATTAAGTTTCTATCTCAAACAGAGGTCTACTTTTAATACCAGCATTTTTTTTTCTGATGATGATATCTGGTTGTAAATTATGGCACATTAAAGTTCCCAAAGAATTGAAATTAAGGACCACCCAAAGGTCAATGACTAGATTCATGATGGGTGTGAACAACTTAAGACACATTATAAATGTGTCTCATTATATAATTATAAATTATATAATAAATAAAATTATTAAAAGGCACATTCATTAATAATTTGTTATTGATTAATAATATTAATTTATAACATGAATTAAAATTAAAATTTAATTTAATTTTAATTATAAAAATATAAGATTATAAAAGCAACATGAAGGACATATTCTTAGAAATATATGAGTAGAAAAGATGAGTCAATCACATGAGAGCAAGAGACAGATGATGGATAGCCCACATACTCTATTATTATACTTGTAATGTCAGAAATGGAAGGAAGTCACTAACATGTGAACTGGAACTCTTGTGGTCAATAAGTGGTAGTCACATAAGATGGACAGGCATGGATGATTTGCGCTATATTTGTTCTCACACTCTCAAGTGTCTTCCTCATACCAATTCATTCTCCACACAGCCACCAAGGTAATTTTCCCAAAGCACAGCTCTATGTCAACCCCTTACACAATTCTGTTGG